ATTATTTTCTTCCTTATTCTATCAGACAATGCCAGAGCCATGCAGAGAACTGCAGATGAACGACTGCTCTACAAGCATACAAGAGTACTTGTTTTCAGTAGAAATCACTTTGAACATTTTTTTTTTTAAAAAGGGATAACCTGCTGGACAAAGAAACTGTTAATTGTGATAGACATGTCTGAGAAAAGAGTTCCACCATCTTGTTAATTTGAACAGGCTTGAGCCAAGGGAAGGAAAACCAGGGATAACAAAGCCTATGGAAACAAGTTCCAGATAGGAAATAGCAAGGTACTGCCATTTTTGACCAATTAAGTCAAAACTCTGAATTTCAAACTTCCTGCTCTGCAGAAAGCCCTGCCATTAGTGAACAGCTGAAGAGTGATCCACTCATCACAGGTAGTTCTACATAAAGATACTGAAAAATGCAATATTCTCTTCAGAGATTCTGTAAGAGCTGTTATGTTTCTACCTAAGCTGAAATCCTTATCAAAACTACCCTACCTCTCCGTAGGGAAAATGCGACATTTTTTAATAAAAATCAATTCTGTAAGCAATGAGTACATCTACCCACACTTTCAGTATCATGTTTCAAAAGTCTGTAAATTGCCAAAAAACAACAAAACAAATCCCAAAATCTTCTAGTCTTGTCTCTTAAGGAAGAGACATGCATGACTGTCCAAGTACCTATTCAGCATTTCCCACTATCCCATAATTTCTCATGTTAGCCAATTTCTACCATATTTGGTAATTATGACAGTCTCAAAGAAATTCAACACCCGTTAAATTACTAAATTTTATCAATCTGAGTAGTGGACAAGAATTCAGCGTGCTCTTGAAGCAAAAGGTAATTCAGTGCAGCCCTGTCTTCTTCTGATGTGTAACTTCCATTGTGAAGAAATGGCAATGAATGCACCAAAACTTAGGTTATGCAGAAATTGTATTTGTATTATCAACTATACACAAGTAACAGGAGAAAAGGTTGACTCAAGAAAAGAAATTCTGTTGTGCAATGCCAAGAACAGTTCATTTTCAAAACAGGTGATCATACCTCTGTCAAATGATCATTACAGAGCAAAAACTACAAAACCTTGTGTGTAGCTTTGTAACTGGAGTCCATACAGAACAGGGTAGCTCAACCTGAGAAATAAAAGAAATACCTATGGTATTAAGAATACCAGAATATATTGGGCAACCAGCAACTGCTGGGGCAATTTGGCTACCAAATAACAATGCTATGAAACCCTTAGGACTACCTCCATTGCATGACTACTGGTCAGACTACTCCAGATTTTGGCTACTAGCATGCTCTCTGCAGTGCAGTGATAATTCCCTCCCTCCCTTTCACTACCACTCCCCCCGCCAAGAATCCTCAACAGAGAATACTGGAAATATAAATACTTATTTTCTGATGTGGGCATGAAACAGCTCAGCCTAATTAATTCCTTTCTGCCAAATGCCCCAGGGCCAGCTGCCCATCAAAAGTGAACTGTCTGCACAGCTGGGCTCTAAATCCAGAGCCTCTTGGACAGGAGTGTAGGTTCCTGGGACAAAGCCTATCCAGGCAGGAAAGGACCTAACTGCAAAGCTGACCTGCAGCAGCAAAACTCTGGGGAGGGAAAAGCAGCACTGGGTAGTAAAGAACCAAGGGCTGGTTTTGATAGGTAGGGCAGTAACTGAGTTTGGATTTAATAGCAGGTTTGCTCAAACCACCCTTGAAAAAACCCTCTAGCACAACTATTTAATTCACCTCTCTTACTGAAGCTGAGTCCTGTGTATGCAGCCCTGTGTTCACCCTGAGCTCAGGAGAGACATGGAATACTGAGAACTAAACTGCAGCCACATGGGTATCCCAAAATCCTGAAGGCATACAAAACTGGTACCTCACTAAAAAAGCATAGAATGTACAAATGACAGATCAATCCATTTGTTTGGAGATGCCTCCAGTCCCTACATGACAACTGAAGACAGACTATTGTATTCTCTTGGAAATAATCAGGCACTTGGATTCCCTGAAGGAATCTGTAAATAAACAGGCAGAAGTGGACCAGCATACATGAACAAGGACACCAATAGCTGCCATATTGAGCATAGGTTGAACTAGATCCTAAAGTTCCTCCCAAGCCTATTTATTCTATGATGAGACATTTTATCAATATGTACAACAAGCAAATCTCCAGAATATGTGTTCCAGAATGGTGAATTTACTAATACAGAATAAACAGCTTCAAGGCTTCAGCACCCTGCTCCACCTATAACACCAGGATAATATCCCTTCCTTGTACAATCCATACATTTTTCCTGGTCCTTGGCTTGTGGCATCAGATTTATAGAGCAAAGAGGTGGCACAGCATGTCCAAGGCAAACAAACCAAGGAGCTGCAGAAGTGCAGAGGAGTGAGAGGGGGAAATTCACATATTTTTTCAAGCTGAAGACCCACACTGGAGGCCCACTTTTGCTCTGGGACTGAAGAGGAGGGCAGATCTCAAATGATTTGGTGAGAAACATGTGAACTACACCTGAAAATCAGCCCAGCTTCTCCTCCAGTTGTATTAGGACTGAATCTGTGCTTGTTTGAGAGAAAAAGATACAAAGCACAACCTGAAAGCATGAAACTTTTGTACATGAACCCATGACCAGTTTAAGATTTGGGGGATTTGCAGTTACAAGAAGCATGTGTTTTTTCAATGTATCTCTCCCTTTGGCTTTGATGGTTTAATACTCATACAAAAGAAGTACAGCAGAAACTGTCATCCTCATTTCTTGCTCAATTGCTGTGTGGCATTTGCTAAGCTCTCCTTGTTTCAACAGAAGGCTCCCCAGAGCACAGAAGGTGTTCCTTCTTAGCATGTCTTTACTGACTCCCTTTTGACACTCATGTAGAAAAATGTTGCTACCTCAACTCATTTTCTTATAAAGTCTGTATTTTTCTTAAATCCTTTGCCACTGAAACTGGCAGAGATACAGTTTTCTTTCCTGAGGTCCTCAAAATGAGAGAGCATTTTTAATTTGAAAAGAAGACTGAAAAGATGAAGAAAGCACCTCCAGAATGTTAAATAAATTATGTCAGAATGAAAAATAAAACTTTCAAAATTTAACTTACAAAATCGTTTAGGAAATACACTTTTCTAGAACCAAGAGAAATTATGCTGGAAAATCCTTAGTTAACACTGTCAACCCTATCAATGGGCCAACAGAAGCCAGTTTATTACAGAAAATAACATGTGAATGAGATGTCCTAGCCATTTGCAGGGCATTTTCATATTTTCAACGCTCGAGACTGCCAAGGTCTGTGTGGTACAAACCACACATGGTACCATGGGGAATAAGCCAGAAAATGGACTTCAAGGAACACAGTAAAAACACAGAGTAGTGGGTGGGTATCTGGAATGTAAACATGGCAAAATGGCACTGAAGAGAATGTCAAAACCAAAATCAGAGGGTGAAAGCAAATATCTCTGAGATAATAAACCCCATAAAACAAAAGATGGAAAGAGAAAGAACAGATCAGTTGAATCAAAATGAGGGTGTGAAAGTGCAAGTGAGGAAATGCTCAGGGTTGAAGGTATTTGGCTGAAACAAGCAGCCAGCACGAAGCTGAGAGAAGCCAATCACGACTTCAGAAAGGTCTTTCAGCATCCAAAGGACAGTGCTCTGGGGCTTGCTACTACTGTGCCAGCTGCTGGTTCCTGCCTGGAGCCTCCAGCAAGCTGCACCTTCTACCTCTCTTTGGGAAGGTCCTCAATTACTGAGGCTGCATGTCGAGAGACAGTACCAGAGATTACCAGGTGCCCATAAGTCACACATCTTTGGTGAGAAATTCACTTATGGTGCAGAAGTTCACATCATCAGGGGCAGAAGTGACAACTGAGTATTTGTATCATGAAAGAGTTGTTCTTAATATCTAATTCAAGATTTTCCCCTTTTTTTCTTTTATTTATTTTAACTGGAATCTATTCACTGACCTAAATTTTCTGTTCCTCCTAAGCTCTGCTTGGCTCACGCATGAAGGAAAGGGGCCAAAGATGGCCTTGTGCCACTGCTGGTCTGCTGGAGACTTGCTTAGCTTCCCATGTAAATTGGCCTCGGCCTGCCCTCGTTTGGATTTGGCTCCATCCTTTAGGTTTGGCTGCAGCAGCCCCCGAGGGGCCATTCCACAGCCAGGAATAACTCAGAAGCTCTCCGGCCACTCTTCCAGCCCCTGGATCTCTCCAGCAGACCCAGCATTCATCCCTGAGCCAAATGGCAGCATATCTGATAGCAGTGGGGCGGGGGAGGATAGAAAATCCAACGAACCCATTTTCCTCGGGGATGCACAGACGAGTCGTGCAAAAGTGATGCACCGACTTCTCTGTGTGAAGGAACAGCCCCACAGCAGGACGAGCCGGACACCAGAACCGGGTCAACCCCTCTCCTGTGTCAGGCTCTCACTGTCTCAGCCCGGCGGTCCAGAGATCCGGTCCAGCCACAGCCACCCCGGGCGGCCGCCGAGGAGCGCTCACCGAGCGCAGGTGTGGCGGCGGCGGACGAGGGGCGCTGGGCGGGCACTGAACGCGCTTGCCGGACCCGGACCGGCATAGTCCATCGCTCCTGGCTGGCATCACCCATCGCTCCAGCCTCGGCATCTCCCATCCCTCCCGGCTGGCATCACCCTCCCGGCCGGCATCGCCCATCGCTCCCGCCCCGGCATCTTCCATCGCTCCCGAACGGCATCACCCACCGCCTTCGCCCCGGCATCATCTGTCACTCCCGGGCAATATGACCCATCGCCCCCGCCCCGGCATCACCTGTCACTCCCAGCCGGCATCGTCCCCGCCCTGGCGTCGCCCCCGCCTCGGTAGCAGCGCCTCGCCCGCCCCGTCCGGCAGCCGCGGGCGGTGGGAGCGCCCCTTTCCCGCCTCTCCGCTGCCTCCCGCCCGCCTCCCCCCCGCTCCCTCCGCCCCCTCGGCCGGCAGCTCCCGCCCGCCGCTCCCCGCTGCGCAGAGCGGCCGCGCCGGCGGGGGATGGAGAGCCAGCGCTGCTTCGCCAACCGCTTCGATGACTACCCGGGCAGCCCGGCGGCGGCGCCGGACAGGGAGGCGGCGGTGCCGCTGGTGACGGCCACCATCGAGCGCATCCTGCGGGAGCTGCCGCCCCTGGGCGGCCCCCGCGGCTGCCCGGGCGGGCTGTACGGCGGCGTGGCCGGCGTGGCCTACATGCTGTACCACGTCGCTCAGTGCCCGCTGTTCGCGCCGTCGCGGGACTCGTACCTGCGGGCCGCCCGCCGCGTCGTGGACGCCTGCCTGCGCTACCAGGAGGGATGCGGCGAGGCCGACGCCGACACCCGAGCCGCCTTCCTGCTGGGCGGCGCCGGGGTGTACGCGGTGGCCGCGCTGGTCTACCGCGCCCTGGGGCTGCCCGAGTACGCGCGGCCGCTGGGCAAGTTCAGAGAGCTGAGCGAGGTGTGCGCCCCGCTCTCCTTCCTCGAGTGCGGCTCCGATGAGCTGTTCGTGGGCCGCGCCGGGTACCTGTGCGCCGCGCTGGTGCTGAAGCAGCGGCTGGGCATGGAGGTAAGGCAGCTCCGGGCGGCTGGGGCGGTCACCCGGGACGGCTCCCCTCGCCGCTGCCGGGCCGGGACAGTGCCCTCGGCGCTGGAGGGGATGCGGCGGTGCCGCCGCTGTCTGCAGCTTGCACTTTCGGGGGCCAGCTTCAGAGCCCCCGGGGAGTGAGTTCCCTGGTAGCTGTTCCTCCTCAGCGCTCCTCCCCGAAATGAAAAGATGCGGCTTTGGCCAGAGGGAGCGGGATGGGGTCCCGGCTCTGGAGCGCAGCGCTGCATCCCGGGGCACGCCGAGAGCATCAGCTGTTGGTTGCCGAGTGGTGAATTACTTGGCAGAAGCCACCCCGGGCTTTTCAAGAGTATTTCCGTAAAACGAAATGGGTAAGAAAAGAAATAGCGTTGAGTAAAACAGTGAGGAATCCTGTAATACTAAGCGGTCCTGTACTGTAATTTGTAAGCAAGGAACCAGATTTTCAGAGGCATTTGGCCTTGCTAACCTCATCATACAGACTTTCAGAAATCTGGCCGTGTATTTTGGTGCTTTTCATGAATGAGAGCAGGGATTTTTTGCTGGAAGCGTGAGATGTGGTTATGGTTCAGCATAGTATTGGTCTCAGTAGTCGGGACTTTACCCCAGGACATTGTCATTGTCAGTACAATTCAGGTGACAATTCAGAGCTTCCACTGATTATGGCATAATAATTATTGCAACTAATATGTTTGCTGTGGTGATTGTTACTAAGTGGTCAGTGTGGTATCTGAGCAGGCAGTTGGTAGATTTTTTTTTCCCCTGTCCTCTTGTCAGGTCCAATCTGTGTTTCCTTGTTAATAACTGATTTGCAAGTTCATATGCTTCTGGCTTTCTTCCCTCCCAGGAGGGGGAAGCAAGATTTATTTATAAGTAAATAAATGATATAAGAACTAGTGGCTCTGCCCCATCCAATACTAGTCACTGCAATTGGAGTCTGAGGAAATTCACTTAATGGAGGTCTCGGGAGGCTCGAGGGTATCCAGAGAAGCCAGGAAGAATGTTAAAGTCAGTTAAATACTGTGATTGCCTTGAACTAGAATTCATAACCACACTAAGCATTTCAAGTAGCATACCAGGTGTGCCATTTCTTTGTACAGGATTGTCTGACAATCATAACCATAAACATGGTTATGGTTTTATGTAACCATAATTAAACAAACTTTTCATTTGATTGCCTTTCCCATGACAGGAAAGTTTTATAGACACGTCACAATCCATTGTGCAGCAGTGCCTGCCTGAAGGGATGGTTTCTCATGGAGGAATAAGCCATCCCTGTTGGTTCAGTTTGCACTGGGGGAGTGTATCCAGCACCCATGTCAGTGCTTATGATGGTGTCCTGACATTCCAGCAGAAGGAGGTGGCACCCTGCACCCTACTGCTTTATTTAATGTTTTTTCCACTTGCCTTACATCCCTGAGAGCAATTGCTGAACAGCTGGGAGAGTGGGTGCAGTCACCTCTCACAGGCAGCTGAGCAATGGGAGAGCTCTCCTCTGTTTGCTTGCTTGGTGAAAAATTGTGCTAAATGCAGCTGTAAAAAGTTAAACAGCCTCACAGATAAGCACAGGTATGCACTTACTGTGGAATCTATTTAGCAGGTGGGTTAATTGCTATTTTGCCAATAAAACACAAGCTGTAATCCCTTGCTGATATTTTCATTGATAACCTGACATCCTTCTATAGTATTATTTCTTCTGTCAAATACACTATAATTTTAAATGTGTAGTGCAAGAAACAAAGCACATCATTAATCATTAATAAAGTCAAATTGCATTTTTTAATTTTAACCAAGATTTTTAAAACTTGCAACTGAAATATTTTGCTGCTTTGTGAGGAGAATTATGATTTCTAGTCTATATTACTCAAGCTTCAGCAAAATGTGTGTCTTTTGATAAATATTCCCAGCCTAGTAGAGAATTATTTTAATTAGTACATTGCCAGACCAAACCCTGCATCTTTTTACAAATGAAGAAAGGGATGCCCAGAGAGAGTGCATGCCATTTATTACCCAAGGTCAAACTATAAGCCAGGTACATCCCAGAATAGAAGCAATATCTTGTGATTCAAACCGCTGGAAAATGCTACCTCCTGTAATTTGATTGTGCACAGCCTCACATGGCTCATTGCAGCATGTTTTCTTGTTACCCACGTTCTTTTTTCTTTCTTATTTGTTTGTTGTTTTTTTTTTTTTTTTTGTGAGGACACTGTGCAAATATTTCCAGCACAAAGTGAAATCCATTCCTTACATTGAAACACAGCCTCTGCTGCCCGCGTGGTTTTTCCCTCTGAAGGAGTCAAATGGTGACCTATATACGAGAAATCGCTTGTCCTTGAAAAGAGCGTTTTGAAGGAATTTCATAATTTATGTCTTGGGTTTGTTTTTTGTTTAATCCAAGCAGGGATGGAAGGAGACAGCTTTATTTCACCAAACACAAGTTTAGCTCAGCTGCTGTGCCCCAATACTTCAATTTCTTGATAAAGAGTCCTGGTGTCTTTAAGCTCCACATGTTCTTCATGAAGTTAATGGACTGTCCTGAAGGATCCAATCTGTTGGATAACACTGACCTCATGTGAAGAAGGCATTTGCATTCAGCTGGTTTTCAGATTTTTAGGCTAATACAGCATTTTTCCCTGATTAATTAATTGGGATTTTTTGCATGAGTAAGGATTACTTCAACAGTCAAGGCTTAACAGGATTTGACTTTCATGATGCACTGTGCATTAGAAAAGATGTTTATTTTCATCCCTTCTTTAATTTCCATTATATTGCAGTCAGTGCTTCCCAGACACAGATAGGTAAAATACTGTTTTGGCAGAAACAGTGTGTCATTTGTATAAGGTGCATGTACTTTAGCTGTCCTTAACTACTGTGTTTTTTCCATTCGGGGAAAAAAATTGTTTTATTCTCTCTTAAATACATCTTTTTCTAATGCTTATAGTGTTAGTTCCTTGTGTGTCCTTGGGGAAATCTGTCAGTCCTGCTTTTAATTACCTTCACTCAGGCTGTGTTTGCTTGAGCAAACAGCAGTAAGACCATTAAAATGGTGGTCCCATCCCTCCATTCAGATGATGTTTTATCCTCTCCTCAATTTTTCTCCATGGTGCTTCTGTCCCATTTCGTGGTTGATGGAGCATGGTGTGCTTCGGTCGTTGCGCTCCCTTCTGGCAATGTAACTGTCAGATGACGGGGGAAAAGGTGCAGAAGTTCAAGTGGCTCCTTGTATTACCATCTGCTAAAGATGTTGCTGCCTTTTAGCACAGCTTGGGTTATCTTTTAATAACTGACTATGGATGGGCTCAGCTGGCTTCCACTGACTCAGGGTTGTAGCAGCACAGACAGCAGTGGTGCCCTGTAGGAGACAGGGCAGCATTTTACACACCCTGGTGCTGTGATTTCATTGGAGACAGTGGTTTCAAAAGATTTTGGGGACCCCATGAGAGACCTTTGCTGCAGCTGCAGGGGTGACAAGGTGAACCAGCACACTGTGGCAGCAAGGTGGCCAAACCTGTTTGCTCAGGCACTGGGGAGTCTTGAGAGCCTGCAGAGGCTCTCTCATCCCACAGTGATTAACCTTCCTGTCTCTGGGGCAGAGGGGCATCTCAATTTCCTTTCCCAGCCAATGCTAGGTTCATGACTTGGTGTGTGTTTCCAGGGTGTTATCCTGTCAGAGTGTGCACTGTTCTGATATTCTGATATTCTGCCTGCCCAGAAAGAGCCATGATCTTTCTAGCAGGACCTCGTTGAGTGTAGGGCCCTACTGAAAACCATCCTTATCCTCCTGACTGCCGTCTGTCCCCAGAGCTTCTTTTATCTTGGACCTCAGGAGATTGCAAATCAAGCTAAAGGAGTCGCCTGGTATGTGGAAAGCAGGAATAGCACTGCTGTGGGATGTCTGGTATATAGGTGCCAGAGCACGGGAAATGTCAGGTGTTATTTTAAAAGGCAGTGGAATGGATGGATGTGCAGGGGGTGACACCTGACGAGTCCAACCAGCGTGTATTTTGTAATATTCTGGGAGAGAAGATACAAATCAATGAAAACTATTTTCTTGCAGCTCCTCAGACAATTCTAGATGATGTTTATTGGTTCTTTAGAGCCTTCCCTCCAGATAATCAGTGTGGAGGGAGCAGAAAACATTCATAAAGAAGAAAGTCTCCCTGCATCCCTGCATCCTCAGAACAAGCTCCTCGGAAAACCATAGCTTAGAGATAAGAAATGGCTTGTGAAATGACAAATACAAAAAGGAATCCAGCTTCCCCCCTTGGAAGACCCTCTTATCTATCTTCAATATTAGTGGTTCATCCTCTTTTAGTATCCATAGGCCAGCTTTGAATGTAAAATCCCTCAGGGATTGGTTAGAATGTAGAATTTCCTTGGTAATTGGTGCAAATTGTAAAACCCTCAAAAGGTATAAAAACCCCTGTAAAACAATAGCCGTTGGTATATGTAGACAGGATGCCTTCATAGAATAAACTATGGATTTGTGCCTCTCTGCATATGCTGATCTCTTAACCCCGCTGGTCTGAGAGCTCACTGTGAGCCAAAATTCTATCTGGGCAAGGCTCGGGAATTTGCTCCGTCTCTGAGGGCTGCAGGAGCAGCCTCTGGGATCCCAAAGGGACCCCAAAAACCCAGCCAGTGACAAATCAGCACATGTTTGAATACTATTATAGGTTTCTTTGCTCCACTTTTTTCTTTCTTTAAAATCTCTTAGGAAAAAATTGGAAAGTGTGAGAGGAAGAATCTTCCCTGAGTGCTGTCTAGAACATGTTCATTTGCAACTCTTTAATGTGGAATGTAGATGTATTCATGCTGGCCATAGTGTTTCTGAAAGACATACAAATTAAAGATCTTTGAAGGGAGATCTGCAAAATACCCACAAAACTGATGCTCCTCCAAGTGCTGTAGTGCAGAATCCCCGTGTCAGGCTTTTAATCTCACCTGTGCCTGAAAGGGGAGGGTTGGCCTTTGAGGTGAGATTT